AAGAAGAAAATAGTTTGCTTTTCTTAAGAATATTCTTGTCCTAGCAAAATTGCTAATTTTATTTCTTAAATTGTATCCATGCAGTAGATATCTTTAAATATATTCTGTGAAAAAATTTGAAATACATGCAGAGCATTTTTATTACATATGTAAGTATGTCTCCCTTGAGGAAAAGTATTAGTATGATTGCTAGAATTCTGAGCTAAAATAGCCACCTTTTTCATGAAATGCAGCCTTTATTTGAAATAAGCCTTGATAGACAAACCATAGTTTCTCAGACTTGAGTATCTGACAAATATTTTCTCAAATGAATTAGGTGAAAAAGAACTTCAAAAATTAATGTATTGATTGAAATTATAAATTCAAGATTTTGAGGGGCCATAAAGTGTGGAAAAATTGTATATAAATTTAATGGTTTCCAAACACTCAAAAATTTCTTTTATAAAATCAGTAATGATAGGAACTAATGTGTTTTTTGGATCTTATAATAAATTGTGTCAATGTTTGGAAAACATGCATTACTCTGTATCCCTATTCTTTTCAAGTGAACAATGTTACATGATGACACAAAATTTATTTAAACTACAAATAACAGAGTATGAAGAATTCTTTGAGGTTGTTTCTGATTCTGTTGACAATTCCTATCTGTAGTTCTGGTATTAGTAGCCAAAAATGTCTACAATAGCCCAACTATTTCTTTAAGACACTTCTTTTTTTTTTCAGTAACATCTTCCTGTAAAATAGGATTTTCTTCTTTAACTTCTATCAAAAGGGTATATTGCAACTGACTAAATACTCAGAGGTGTAAGAGTCAAATTCTCTTCTCCTTAATAGAGAAAGTTTATCTATAAAAAAACCTGTAAAATAATATTATTCCTCACTCTATTTTTTATTTTGAAGAATAGCCATTTTTCATAAAAATGCATAATTTATATTACGTGTGTTTAGTTTTTCATTGCTAGTTGAAAACTTTTTATGTTTTTTCTAATTGCTAATATAGTGATATAATAATGTTGGTAGGTATAATCCCAACAGAAAAGAGCTCTTTATTGGCTCACTAATTATTAAGAAAGTGAAAGGTCTTGAGATCAAAGAGAGAGAAAACCATGACCTGGAGAATGTGAGCTTTCAGTGTCTTCTGAACTTATGTTTACTGTTCCTCCAACAGTGTATCTTTTGTGCCCATTATGTAGAGAACATTCACATAAAGATTAGAAGCTGGTGCAATGGTACAATATTTGGTAATATTTGTAAAGAAAACAGTTAAAAATGAAGCATTGTCAATTTCTGTGTTATTTTTTATGTCTTTCTCTAAAGTCGTTTCTATTAACTATGTTTTGCTATATGCTATAGATGCTTATAACAAAACATTAAAGACTGGGTAGAAAGGAGAAAAGAAATTACTTTGCAGAGAACTCAGCAACTCTGCTAAAATACTGTCAGCTATTTATCTACTGTTGGCAGAGGTTGCACACTATAATCCTTGACAAGTTCAAAATCAGAAAGACTGAAGAGAGGGGCAAACCTTGCAGTTAAGGCCTGTTCTCATGCACAGACATTTTAACACAGATTTAAAGCCTGAATGTATCTTCTAGAAAATGTCACTTTTGATTCTGATACATATCCTTGCAAGGAGCCTCTACATTTGGTTGACTTAGTACAAGATATGTTAAAGGCTAACACTATATTTTAGACCGTTCATGATCCCAACATGGAACAAATGCAATGAGGTCAGCATCGCTTCATTTTAGAATTGGCTACTACAACTGCATGATTTCATGAGCATATTTTTAAGGAGGAGAGGATTATTTTTATTTTGCTTTGGGAGGTAATGACAGGCTCTTAGAACCCTGGTGCCCTTGCCAGTGTCCATTTGTCCTTTACATTTGCAGAGGAAACAACTATTGATGCATTCTTCTGTCCTGAAAACATTGCTTTGGAAAATGTGTATGGCCAAGGAATAAAATGCAACAATGCAGACTTCAGCAAAGAAAAGCCCCTTCTAGTAGGAGTTAAAGAAGCTTACAGGACTGACAAGGACATGTAAAGTATGAGCATTGGGAGGCTCATACTAAGAGGGCTACATGAAAAATGCAGCCCTGGTCACTTCCAACAGAAACTCTAGTTTCCTTTAGGACACAATGGATATTGCCTGGTCAATAAAATGACTCTTACACATATGATCAGGGGTCTAAATAAATGTGTGCTTGTAGCTGGGGATGTTTGATGAATGCTGAACCGGAATCTTAATTTTCTAATTCATATTCACCAATTAAAAATAAACTGTATTTTTATGAGCAAATTTACATAAATCAGATGATAAAGCATCTAGCACTAAAGGGTAGGAGTTCAGCTCCCAACATTTGCATATATTCTCCTAAAGAAAATATAGGCATTTTAGATTTTCATTGAAGAGTCTTGCTGCGCTGGAACTCTAATGGGCTTAGAACAGTAAATTTTGAAGAAACTGATTGCTACCCCTGTAGCTAGTAAATGTCTGCCTAGACCCAGTGGCATTTGAAAAAAGTGTTTTATCATAAAATTATCCCAGCAGAGTCCATTCTGCAAGATAACATCATCATCATCATCATCAGTACTCCATGCAGGACCCAACAGCTCTGGCACAATATTGCCAGTCATTTATCTGTTGTCAGCACAGGTTACACACTGTAATCCTTGACTGCCTCGGAATTAGAATGTCTTTGATGTCCCCACAAGAGTTTTTTGCCCGAAGGCTTTACCAATGCTCGGCGGCTCAGTGTTTATTCCTCGTAATCTTCCTCTCATCTCCAGGCTAGCAGTGACAGATGGTTATGGGCACACAATAGTATTAAGAGTTTGATATTTTTTTTATGCTGTGCTCTCTGTACAACAAATAGCTATCAGACGCGGGCCAGAGAGCTGACATGGCTCGCTTAGGTAATGGCAAACAAACAGCTCGGGTTGATGCTTTCTGTCATTTCCCCTCCTAACCCTGCTTGTTTTCATTGTATACTCTCAAAGGTAAACTATATTAACCTTATAGACTGTTATTAAAAAGATATATCTATATGAGCATAAAGTGCTTTTCTTTTCTCTTTTTCTTACTCTTTTGATTATGAAAGTAATACTGCTGACATATTGAACAAATATCGAATGTCAACATAAATTTTTAGTGTGTGATAATATCCCCCTTCATATAGCTGTGTGTCAGGCGGGAACCCGCGGATGATGCATAGCAGTAAATAACCCAAACAAAATTAGTTCTCTTGTCAGCTTCTACCTTGTATGTCCCCAGGCATCAGTAAAATTGACTGCACGCTAGATTTTCAAAATTAGCCCTAATGTTAGCTATGTGTCTGGCAACCTCCAAGTTTCCAATGTTCTACTATATTACCCGTAAGGATGAATGTGTTACTTTTATATTTTGGCATTTACTCTTGCTGATGCGGCTTTTTTCCCTCTTCTCCAAATTAAAAATAATTTAGCTTTAACAATAAGAATGTGCACAAACATAATGCTGCATCTCTTTAAGCAACTAACTTTAGGCAATTAAATTAAATTAAAGCAAAAATATACAAAGGAAGAGAGGGAATTATTCAATTTAATATTGTTAATTTTATTAACATAGCTCTGTTGTATTTTGTGCAAACTATTGAATAACATGGTTCTAACCCTTTCCTCTATATTGCTGTTTTGCAACGACAGTGCACAAATTATTTAACGTTTTTATGATAACCCAGAACCAAACATTTTAGAATTGCAATAAATATTTCTTGAGACACAATCAAAGGTTAGTAGAATAAAAGAAAAGATTTTTTCAAAGGGGTAAATGAGGACATGAATTTTACCTTCGAACAGGTTAATCTGACCCTGATGCCTTGCAATTTAAAATAATGTAAAAAGAATGCCAAATACTGTCATATTTTAAGTAAAATATGATTTGCACATAAATCTTACTCTCTTTCAAAGTCTCTAAGTGTGATGATGAACAAATGAATCTAAAACAGATTCCACGTTAACTTTCAATCCCTAAATTTTAGGTTCATATACTCGGAATCAAATACAAAATCCATTTAGGTACCAGATGCTGCAGATCAAGTGGGAGAGCTTCCGGAGTTTGAATGTGCTGGAAGGCAAATCCTGGGTAAAGGTGCTTTGCCGGCTGGTGTGGTGTGCTTATTACTTCACCTGAAAACAGTTGCTCCGCAAAATCGTACCTAATGATCAGCTCAGCATCTCTGCAATAAAGAGGCCATAATCTGTGGGGGAAGCGGACTCTAATCAGGCCACATGCAGATTAAACTAACTGGGAGGAATAAAAACTAGATTAAAATGTTCATGACTAATGTCAGAAGATTATCAGGACATTTTACCTCTTTAAATCTTAATTTATAGGGGTCAGGGTTAAGTTTGTGAGTTTATATTTGGTGGGATTATATGCTGCATTGATTTTCTTCTGCCTAGAGATGATTCAGCTAGACAATATTTTGTTTAGTACATTACAGAGGCATTTGGGAGAAGGGAGTCAGTTTCATACATACTGATGTATGGTATGACAAGTAAAATATACCCATCCAGTTAAAATTGGTTAAAACCATAGTAAATAAATTGTTCTTGTTTCAATGGTAATACTGCTTTATAAATGAGTATACCAATGTTTATAAATGAAATAAACTTGTGATAATAGTGTGTACATACGTGTATAAAAATGGTATCCTATTCTTCCACCTTGAAAATTGATTTCTTAGAAGTGTCTGACTACTATTGTTTGTTGAACAAAGCATTTCAAATACTTACCAGTAATTCAAATTTAATCTAAATACACAACAATTACTGTGAAGATATTGAGCAGTAACAGTTGGCATTATATCAGCAATATTACTATATAAAAATATAAATGTAAATTAAAGCAATCTTTTCTAAAGCAATAAGGATAGGGCATTAGTAAGTCAATCATCAGAATACATTTTCTATCACCAGCTCTACAAAGTCTTACTAAATGGCATGCCATGACTTACCACCTGTGAGGCCAGACAATGTGCAATGGTTGTGGCTGATCATCGGCTCCACCCAAAATGTCACAAGGATTATGAGTCAGATTCTCTTTCTTTTCCACAGGAAGAGAGCTTGAATTATCTGTCGAGTTAGATTTTTTAAAGTCTGATTCCTGCATTGATGAGCTGTCCAGGTTTTCTTGTGCAGTATTGAGGCCAGAGTGTACATCACACTCTAAATTAAAATTCTCCAATAAATTTTCAGAATCTCTCCGTTTTGGTTGGGAAGGATGGGCCATGGATAGAGTAGCACCGCCATTTCCGTTAAGGCTGAGCATCTTCTGTAAATGGGCTATTTTGTGCTTGGGCATGAATCTGTCACAAAAAGGGAATGCAATATGCTTTTGATGAAAAAAATATGTACAACTTGTCCCTTACCTTCCTATAAGGACAAATGTCTAAGTATGAAACGAAAGAAGGATGCTAAAACAAAATTTATAGCAAAAATGCAACAAGTATTATGCACCAAGAAAAAGTCTGAAGGTTTGCAATAGGATAAAACTGTCTTTGAATGGATTCCAAAGAGTTTCTACCACTATGAAACCTGTGCTAATATATCATAAAATCCAAAACTACAGAGGTAGTTCATCACTCTTTTCTCACTCAACTTTCTGAATTTCATTTTGTGTTTGCATTGTGCATGGCTCAGAGCACTCACTCAATATCCCGTAAGAATGCTTGCAAAAAAAAAAAAAAAAGAATGCTTGCAAGTTCTTGATCAAGCTATGCCACTTCTGCTCACATACTGCTCTGTATGCCTGGGCACCTGTGTGTCCTTTTATTAAAGTGACCTTGCTATTATCTTCTGGAGTATATTTTAATAACTTATTATCATTTTCCCCCTGTCCTTCCATAACATCTTGACATTTAGAGTTCACTGTCTGTTACTTACTAATAGTTAATCTAAATGAAGTAAAATTCTTACAAAAACTCAAATCTAGCCTAAAATATGTAAGCCATACATATACATAGGATCTATCCTAAAAGAGTTATCTGTCTACATGGAACAAATCAAGACCACTTAAAACAGAGTGAAAGAGACATGCAAAAATGGATTATAAGCCTGTATTGATTAGAACATACATGCACACATACATACATACATACATACATACATGCATGCTGGACACTCCAACTTTTGAAATTAAGAAGATGAAGAGATTAATTCTGAGTTGGCATCCATAAAAAAGTTTACAGAGGGTCCTAGTGAAGTACTTTTCAAGTAGAGTTGAGTGAAAATTGAGATAAAATGGAATATGAACTATGTGCAGAAATATTAACTATTCTGGGAATAACATACAACCCAAAGAGGCTGAGGTGCAGTCTGGAAGATAAGAATGGTCCACACAAATAGCATTTTCTCAGTTCCCAAGTCCTATGCAGAGATCTGGCCTTTGCCTGAATTTGTAAGTGAAGAAATGCGGATGTATATATTAAGAGGTTGGTGGGAAGGAAAACCAAGGAAGGAGCACAATACGGATGCCACAACTGTGTTCTAGGTACTCTTTTTTTTTTGGTCCGGTCGTGGGGCCTGAACTCTTGGCCTGGGCGCTGTCTCTCAGCTCTTCAGCTCAAGGCTAGCGCTCTACCACTTGAGCCACAGTGCCACTTCCGGCTTTTTTTTCTTTTTGCTTATGTGGTGCTGAGGAATCGAACCCAGGGCCTCAGGCATGCAAGGCAAGCGCTCTACCACTGAGCCACCTTCCCAGCCCTAGGTACTCTTAAGTCCCTGTCAAATGGTACAGGAAGAAACCTGGTAGAAAGTTAGGGTATGTGAAGGAAAAAGAGAAAAGCAGAGAAGTGGAGAGGGTGAGAAGGGAGTGGGGAAGCCAAGTTTGATAGGACATAGGGATATTCACCTGAGGACTCTTGCTAGGGAGGGTAGAGGGATCCTGAAGAGACAGGAAAATCTTGGGAGATGGAAGTAACAAAATTGTAAAATCTGTGCTAGATAGCAGGATTCTTGGGGTAGGGAAGAATATGTGGCCTTGTAAAGGAGAATAAACCTAGCTTCTTTTACAAAACTGGAGGAAGGGGAAAAATGAAGCAGACAAAGCAAAAATAAAAGCCCTAAATGGTTTCAGGTAGCAGGTATAGAATTTAAGGAGTTGTGTAACTAAGACATTAGATCAAGTTTCTTTTTTAATTGAAGAAAATAGAGGTTGAGATGGGGTTGAGGATGTGAGCTAAGGATGAAACTGGTTTCATATGATAGGGAAAGAAGTTACAAACTAGTGCCAATCCAGGGCTGCTGAAGGACATTAAAGAGAAGCACAGAATTTGTGTGAACTAGACAGTCTTTGGCTGTATATAGCACATCATGCACATTGTAGAGTAAGAAAGCTGGCTTTGGGGACTTCTCTGCTTGGTTTATGAGGCACAAAGTATCTTCTAATTCCAAATAGTTGGAGAAAAACCAAGGGAATATATCTGAATGCCCAAGCAATAAACAAATGACTGTATGCAGAGACAAAATGTAAAGAGTGATAATAATACACTAAGTATGCTATAGTAAGCCCTTGATTTAAAATGGGAAGAAACCAAGGTGTTTATGGATTGTAGTTTTTTACTGATCATCTCCAAAAATAAAAAAACATATCAATTTCCTTCCTGAAAAAAAATTAAAAATACTGAGGGGATTCTAAGGAACTAAAATACATTTAATAAAACCTCTTGATCACCAAATTGGGTAAAAACAAAGTGAGTATGACAACAGCTTTAGCTTCTCCCAAAGAAAAGAAAAAATGGTAAAAGAAAGAGTATATATCTGACCAACAACAATAAAACAAGTGAAGTTACCTACTTATTTATATCAGACAAAAAATGCCAGGCAAGATTAGACGAAGATTTTCAGAGAATTACAAACTTAGTGTGCAAATGATTCACATGAAAAAAAATCAATGGACACAGAAACAACATATCTTCATTTTAGAAAATAGTATCATGACCCATCTTAGTCATAAAATCCATTTGTAGTGGCCAGCATGTGAACAAAATTGCAAATTAAAAGAGATGGGAGACTGGCTAAAGGGTTGTAAACAATGGAATTGGTAACTGACAAAGAATTTAGCTGTGGGCAAGGTGGTAGGCTTACATTTATTCAACATATTTCCTAAGTGTTCTCAAGGGTGACTAAGAGCCAATATTAGCACAGGTTGCAGACAACTGACTTGATAGGTGGTAAAGAATAAGGAAATAGGCGACAGAGAATCTAACTAGGGACAGTAAATAAAACAGCTCACACGTCTCATGAAATAGAAAAAAAAATCAGAATGAACCTTGATTGTAAGATGGTCACAGGAAGAACACCATTTACACTTTTCTGAGTTTAACAAGGTGAGCAAGCTCTAGTTGACCTAGAGAAAATTGATGCCACTGAGTTCCAGATCCTGCTGTACAGGGAATGAAGACATGGAGTCTGTAGAGGAGAACACTGCATGAATGCTGATTTCATTGGGGCCCCAGAGAACTGTATATGTTTGAAAATTACAGAGTTCTGAGAAGAGCAATAATAATGATTAAAGCAATGGAAGAATTGATTTATGAGGACAGATTAAAGGAGCTAAGTATGAATAGCCTGGTGAAGTGACAACTAGAGGGATACATAATAGGAGTCTCTGAGGAAAAAGAATAATTATTTAGCATGGTACAAGGGGTTATATAACTAGGAGTAATGAGATGAAATTAAGAATGGGAAAATTTAAGCTGAATTTTAAGAAAAACTCCTTGACGGTATAATTTATTAGCTCATGGAATAAACTCCCTATGGAAATTCTACAGCTAGGGAAACTTAATAATAGAACTGGACAAAATACCAATAAATAAAATAGATAACAATCCAGTTCTTTCAAGAAGGTGGCTACAAGTTATATGTTCCCTTGTTTATAGTATATTTTCATATTTTTCTTTAATAGTCTATTTATTCTATTTATATAGTGGTCATCACTAAAAGTAGTATTTAAATAATTAATTGAAGTTAACAAGACACATTCTTTAGCTGAGAAGTTAAAAAACACTTTAGTTTTTATATATTCTGCAGCAATAATAAAAGCAGAAACTGGAATAATTTTTACTACCTTGTTTAAATAGAGTTGGTCTTGAAGCCAACTGAACAAATGTATTAATATTTCTAAAGACAAAACAAAATAATCCCCATCCACCACCCCATACAGTCTTTTCTGGTCCTCTGTGCCATGAAACTCCTATTTTTATAGACATGTTTAATATAAACAATTTATTGCCATAATATAAATTAAGAAAACTTTATTTCAGCTTTTCTAAATGTAGCTCTATGGTCAATTACTTCACATCAATACCAAGATCAAATAGGCATAATACTAACAAGCAGTTTGCTTAATAATAGTCACCACACTAATTAACCCATCCAGAACATTCTTAATCAGACACCATTTATAATGTACAGTTAAGAGAAGCCTGGCAATAAACTGTTCTATGAGAGAAAACAGAATAATATCTTAGTGATGGAGTGAAAGCTGGCTGTTCTATGGAATTGGACAGTATATTTGCACTGTCCTGGCATTAACTCAGTGAAGTGACTATGCAAATAGGCACATGTCTGAACACTTCCTTTCTCTTCCCCAGCTCCAGCTCTGGTGAAGGTGCTAATGAGAAGAGAACAGGTCTTGAGGTAAGAATTGAAAAAGTGAAAAGAACGATTCAAAGAAACACAGCAATCTGCCTCTGAGAGCATTTGTCAGGTTTGTCATTTACTCATTCCCCGCAATACTGTTCCTCTTATTCTCAGACTATCTCACCCTGATTTTGAATTTCTCAAAACTGCTATTAGGAATGGCTTGACTTCTAGAAATAATCTGATTACCTCACTCATTTTCAATCAGTTACTATCTAGGAGAATTTACTATGTAGGAGATTTCCACCTCCCACTTCCCCCCTCTCCTCAGCAAATAGCCAGTCTGTAAAGCAGAGTCTCCTTCCTCTTCTCTCAAACTCTCTTCTTCCCCACTCTGTTTCTTGAGATATTGTCACAAAACTCCAGAACTGTGTTAAGCAATGTTTAAAGACAAAGATGGGATGAGTGCCATCTTGGTCTAAATTTACATCATTCCCACCCATCTCTGTACAAGTTCACACAAACATACCTAGAGCTGGACTACAAGAATGGCAAAATGCCTTCCTCAGTAGATCTGCCAGAAAATACTATATTGTAAGTTTTAAATGATGCTTAAACCAGGCAAAGGAAACTGCCTATAAGCTTATTTTTACTAAAGTTGAGAGACTATAGTATGTTTAGTTCATGAGGAGAGGTAATCAAGAAGAAGGAAACAGGGTGAACA